AACAAAATGCCTTCTACTAGGTAGATATGATTAAAAAAATAGTAAGGCTGGACGATCTAAGCCATATGTTTTTTTAAATTTGTTTAACCTAGGAAAGGCTTTGGCAAAATCGGTATATCTACTTGGACACATTTATCAACACAATCTGATACATATTGCGTAAACACTATCAGATTTGTTGTCGTTGATCTTGATAAATAGAAGAAAAAACTCTAAAAACGAAGTGAATTTTGTGGTGTAATACTTTTGATAAATATGGAAATTTTCGGAAAGCCTCGAAAAGTACGTCGGTTTTCTATTGGTTAATATCGTCGTTCTCAAGAATTAATATAACGTTCATCGAGATCAAAAGTGTCAAAAAGGTTGCAACACTGTCTCCTATAGTGGATTAGATTTTCACCGAATATTTGTCGAAATATTCCATTTTCAATCAGAAATATCCGCAGTATTTTGTGTTTGTTCTTACCGACAATTTACCAGACACTGCTTCCCAAGAATTAATCAATTTTTACAAAAACAATGTAAACATTAACGATTCTCTTAGCTGCCAACTGTCAGACAGGACCAGTCTAATCAAAATTGTAACTAATATCTCATCAAATGCCATTGGAGAGGATGGTTTCTCTCTGAGAGACCTAAAGTTATGTATCCCATTTTGTACAAATGCCTTGCTGAATATAATCAACACATGTATTTTGGGGGGATTATTTCCAGAAATATGGAAGAAAGCCCTTACCAAAAATAGCAGAACCTAAAGAATTTACAGACTTGAGGCCTATTAGCATATTACCCGCTACATCCAAAATTTTAGAAAGGCATATTTATAATCAAATTAGATTTTTTTGTGACACAAATGATATCATACCCGATAGTCAATTCGGTTTTAGGAAAAACTTTAGCACAAGTACATCATTAGTTAATATCTTGGATGATATCAGACATCATCAAGAACAAAAAAATAGTACGTGCATGGTTCTTCTCGATTTTAGTAAAGCGTTCGACACTCTGAATCATGAAATGTTACTAGCTAAGTTACATTACCAGGGGTTTTCGCAGAACTCCGTAAATCTAATAAAAACATACTTAACCTACCGTTCAAACTGTGTTATGTTAGCAAATGATTCTACATAAAGAGGAAAAAGAGGAGTTCCTCAAGGTTCAATTTTATCTCCTTTGCTATTTTCAATCTACATATCTGACATGGTCAAATCGGTAAAATTTGCAAAGATAAAACAATATGCAGATGACTCACAAATATATCTCCCTGTCAATAAAACCACAATCCATATTGCACAACAACAACTAAATTCAGATCTCCAAAGAATTGACAGATTTGCAAAGCATCACAATCTTAAACTAAACCCCTCAAAATCGCAAGTAATGGTTATGAATAAAAACAGTACTGAAAGAGAACATTTTGAACAACATTTAGTAATTTCTATTAACAATGACAGAATCCCCATAGTTCAGGAGACAAAAAATCTAGGCATTATATTTGATAGCTCGCTTGGCTTCGGCAGTCATATAAAAAACAGAACAAACTTAGCTTACATGCGACTAAAAAATATAAACAAATTAAAAAGACATTTATCAGCCAAACAAAAATATTATTTGTGTAATACCTTAATTTTATCACTTTTTGACTATGGAGATGTCGTCTATGGTGATTCGCTATCGTCGCGAACCATGAGATTTGCGTTTGAAATTCCATATCGAAACCATATCACTCCTTATCTGAATAACTACAACATATTAAACATGACGAATCGCAGAAAATATCACATGTGTTCTTTTATCTATAGGGTTATAAAAACAGGTCAACCGCCCTATTTAAGAGAAAGATTTGTGCCTTTGCCTAGTACCCAGAGAAGCAGAAATAATCTCAATTTTATCGTACCTAGCCATAGAACGCGTTCCTTCCGACGATCGTTTGAATATGTGGCGGTTCACTTATGGAATAATTTACGAACTTCAGTTCAAAGCTCATCATCAAAAACATTCTCAAATCTGACAAAAACGTTGTTACCGAATCACCAGCTACTTTAGCAGCGTTTGTGTGAGCAACAATATCGTTTTTACATTCCTACTCCCTGACAGGTTGTATAGATTTGTTCTTCGCGTCCGTTGCCAGCTCCCGGGGGTTCTTTCTTCGTTTTTGCCTTTTTGTGTTTCACCGCCTCTTCATTTGCCTCTTTATTGTTTTTTTTTTATTTTGTTTAACGACTTTTAGGGTGTTCAGGACTCTTTGTATTAAAGGGTCCAATGTATCGGTTTTATATTCGAGAGACTGTCCTTTTTCGTCATTGCTCTATATGTAGAATTTCTTTTGTTTATGATGTTTATTCATGACGAAATAAATATTTTGAATTTGAATTTGAATTTGAATTTGAAAATAGGTAAGTGAAAATAATTCGTCAGTATGCAATTTTTATTTTTGTTAATACAATATAACCCATATAAATAACAATATTCTCTAAAACTGGGAATATTAAGATTTTTTTTGCATAGTAGTAATAAATTCGTTGAATCAAATAAATACTCACTTCCATACATCGCCAAAACAAGATATGCACTTCAATATAAAATTGTTCCTAAATAATAAAAAAATACGTAACTTGTGAAGAGTGAGCTTAATTAACCTCAAATGTCTGAAAGTCGACATGGGGGTACATTATATATCAAAATAAGTAGACTGCTATTCTAGAACATCGCGAACCAGAAAAACTGGGACAGCTGTTAAATTCAAACGAAACTAATATGCTGCAACGATGTTGATTTTTAGCACGCAAAAATGACGTCGACTGTCCTATTTGTTTTGTGGTTCACGAAGTACCAAAGAATGTAATTAAATTTTTAATAGAACTTATAACCTAGCTGCAGCAAGATGCAGGATTGGGGTCTTTTCCAGACCTTTTTGTAATGTTTATTCTAGTGAACTCTTCAGCGATCGTAGGGTGGATGCCTACTGTGCTCATCAGAACCTTTACGGTCAAATTGCAGCTGAAAAAGAAAAATCGAATGTTATTTCACAGTATTATGTTTGAATATGACAGCCTTGCCAACGGGTGCATATAGTCCTGTCACCAGAGTTGTCCTTCTCAAAAGTTTCTTGAGTCGATCTCTTGCCTCATCATAAATAGAATTTAATAGACCTTCTTTAGCTCCTCTTCATTGAGATCGGACTTTACTGTACCAAACCTTTTTGTAATTAATGACAGCACAAATGTCTCCGATATCCATCATAATTCCTTGACGTTTTTGAGTAATAACCGCCTCGAAAATAAATATATCTACAAGGTGTTTTCTAAATATGGGATATATGGGATACTTGCTCGTATACAGGAAAAAAGTCGTATTTTAAATTCGTATATAAAAGAACTCATTTGCGTCCAGTGTAATTCCCGCCGAAAAAACTGACAAATATTATTTGATTTTTATTATATACTAAGTGACATATAAATCCGAACACCCAGTTTAAATGGTATTATTTTAATAAAAGTTGGTGAATGTATTTATCTTACTGTAAATAACAAGTGAAAAAATTTTCAGCCTTATCAGTTGGACATTCCGGTTTTTATACTGCTTTTTTTTAATTCACTAACGCTCTAAAAATGAATATTTCAGCCGCAGTAAAGAATCAACGTTGGCGGATTTTGGTTCTTGACATCCTTTACGATCGGTTACGATGCCTAGAGTACGGAGACCTGTACGATTTCGTCAACTTAGCGAGTTTGATAGGGGCCGTATAGTGGGACTTCGGGAAGCTGGACTTTCTTTTCGGGCAATTGCTGTTAGAGTGCAAAGAAGTGTAGACACTGTGGTTAGGTGTTGTCAGGCATGGCTTCGAGAAGGCCGTACGCAAAGAGCAAGTGGCACTGGACGCCGCCGTAGAACAACAGACCGTGAAGATCGCCGCCTAAAATTATTGGCCTTAAGGGACCGTTTCTCCACTACCAGGTCCATTGCAAATGAATGGTTTTCAGAACACGGAAGACCTATTGGCATGCGAAGTGTTTACCGACCAATGAGAAGTTTTGGCTTGTTTTCATACCGGCCACACTGGGTCCTCCCTTTAACTCGAGAACACCGACGTAATCGCCTTGAGTGGTGCAGACAACGGTCACTCTGGGATCAGGAATGGAACAGTATTGTCTTTAGTGACGAGTCTCGATTTTGTTTAGGCATGCACGATGGTCGTGCCAAGGTTAGAAGGCGACGTGGTGAAAGGAGGAATCCACAGTTTTTTGTTGAAAGACATGTTCATCACACTGTTGGAGTTATGGTTTGGGGTGCTATAGCTTATGGTTCCAGGTCACCTTTTATCTTCATCAGAGGTAACATGAACGCGCAGCGTTATATCCATGAAGTTCTAGAACCCCATCTTTTACCCTACCCACCAAGATCTCCCGACTTATCCCCAATTGAGCACGTGTGGGACATGATGTGTGAAACATCCTCCTCAGACTCTAGGAGCACTTCGAGAGGAGTAGGTGGTTGCCTGGAATGAGATACCACAGCAGGACATTGACCATCTGATCAGAAGCATGCCTAGGCGCGTTGGAGAATGCGTAGCACATCAGGGTGCATCCACACATTATTAAAGGTCAAAGTGCTTTAAAGCAGTGCAATCATTTTGAAATTTTTATCATTTACTTATTATGCTTCATTAAGTACTTATACAAAATTTTATTAAAATAAAACCATTTAAACTGGGTGTTCGGATTTATATGTCACTTAGTATAGATGCCGACAGACAGAGACCATACATTTCAGGTCAACTATCAATGTCAATATACAGCAGACTGACAGCAGAAAAAAATCGGAAGAAAACGAAGTCTTGTCTATCCTGAAGTTTTTTAATTGTGTAAAAAATGACCAATCTGTCAGAAGATATGTGAAAATGGTTGAAATCGTCACCAAAGTTTTCCGAGAACATCTACCTCAATCCCTAACCCGCTTAGTCTACTATAAAAAAAAGTTATCAATAAAAATGACGTTACTCGCTGTAAATATAAAACATTTTATTTTTCGGATGACAATTTACTTTGATATAAAAATATCCATCGTAATTAAAAAAAAAGCGTTTACTTGCAACACAGATTGGGATGAGTGTAACCTTAAATATACTAAAATATACACGGGAAAATACTGTAAGGAATTCATAGCAACATCTGTAACGACTAACTGCAGCAAGCCTGAGGATTAGGGTCTTCACCCGATCTTTTCGTTATAAACAATCTCGTAAATTCTTCTGCGATTGTTGGATGTATGCCAACTGTGCCCATAAGAGTCTTTAATGTTAACGGACATCTGGAATTGAGAGATAAGCGTTAAGGAGATGTCTCATGTTGCGCCAAGGAACCTTTCGTTCTACAAATGTGCGTTGATGGCTCATTAAGTCTTGTACCCTACCCTTATTATGTAACTAAAAGCATCACAATTTGATAGCAAAATTTGCTGTCAAACTTAAGCGAAAATAGTGCCGCGCGTGGTATGCACTTACAGAGCGGTCCCAACCGATGCGCTTATGGTGGTGGCTGGTATCCCACCAACTGATTTTCTGGCTGAAGAGAGGTGCGCGCTCTACTGAAAGGGCACCGAAGCTAGACACGATGAAAGGGAGACGCTTTTTGTCAGATGCACGAAAGATGAGATGCAAATGGCCATGGTGCAGGGACCAGAAGGCGGATCCAAAAGATTAAGAGTTGAATTGACAGGGGAGCAGTGTATATAGATTACTTTAATGCACAGTTCCTCACAGGACATGGTTGTTTTGAAACAAACCATTGTAGGTAAAATAGCAGCAAAACATTCATTTTATCACTTCTCCATAGGTGGCGTTTGCGGTGAATTGGTTACCTGAACAACGTAGTGCAAATTTTAAGATTGACAACTATTATTATCAGATTGCAATTTTTTACATAAGGGTGCCAATTTGCAGTATATTACCTAAAAAACAAGCGAAAAAAATCCCCAACTTAGCAGCTATAGTAGCTATAAAAATAGTATTCGATATGATTTTAATGAATTTTATTGCATGTTATATAACAAGTCAATTTTTCACCAAGTGGTACAAGAAATACGTCACTCCAAGAACAAAAGATAATACTTTTTCAGAAACTAACATTTTCTCAGGAAGACGATATGCAATATCATCTCATGATTAACTGCAGCAAGCTTGAGGACTAGGGTCTAAACCCGATCTCCTCGTTATTTTAATTCTTGTAAGTTCTTCCGCAATAGTTGGATGAATGCCCACTGTATCCATCATGCATTTTATTGTTAACTTGCATCTGTAAACGATCAACAAAGCACTGTTATAGTATTAGGTTACGATTCTTAGAACGCCCTTTGTCAGGAATGACTAGCTTAGTAGCGCAATATTTTGATTCATTTTTTGCGTCGTAGATAAATTTTGTGGAAACGCACCCACCAAAAATATTTTTTGTATGACAACATCCCCTGACCTGTTATAAAACCTGCACTAAAAATATACAGTAATGGACAAAAGTATATAGACAAATTAATATTGTACTGTATTTCTTTTTTAACTTGTTTTATTAATACACCAACCTGTATACATAATTCGTTATAGCATAATACTCACTTATACATAAATAAATTCATTAGATTCCCTTCATTAAAAAATTAATTGAAAAAAAAACTGGAACTATGAAGGACAAAAATATATAGACAACGCAAAACAATTATAAAAAAATGAAGCAAAGTTCATTGAATTATAGAAAACCAAACATATTTGTGTTAATATTTTGTAGCATAACCATTATTATCAATCACCGCCTGGCATCGTCTCGGCATAGATTGTAGAAGTTTCTTGATATAAAATTCATCAATTTGTCTCCACTTTTGTTCGTCCTTGTTTGAATAATTTTTATCTCGTATTTGTTTATCTAAGTATTCCCATAGATTTTCAATGGGGTTTATATCGGGAGACTGTGAAGGCCATTTGAGAACTGGTATTTTTTCATCCAGAAAGAATTTCTTTGCGAGATTTGAAATGTGCTTCGGGTCATTACCTTGCTGGAAGATTGATAAGGGCATATTGTCTTCCAAATAGGGTAACATGACATGATTTACTATGTCTGTGTATACACACTTATCCATAATGCCATCTATTCTATGTAAAGGTCCCATTCCAAACCCCGAAGAGCAGCCCCAAACCATAACAGACCCGCCTCCATGTTTGACAGAGGGCAAAGTGTACTTGGGATTCAATCTTTGTCCACTAGGACGTCTAACGTAATGAACACCATCTGATCCAAATATATTAAACTTGGATTCGTCACTGAAACATACCCTCTTCCAGTCACAGATGCTCCAATCAAGATGCAACCGTGCAAATTATAATCGGTCCTTACGGTTTTTCCTCGAGATTAACTTCTTTCTCGGCCGACGTGCAAATAACTTCAAAACATTTAATCTTCTACTTATAGTTTTCGTAGATACACTGGCAATTTCTTTTGTCTCGATTTCAGCCATTTGAGAACTGGTAGTTTTTCATCCAGAAAGAATTTCTTTGCGAGATTTATTTATTTATCTTGCTGGAAGATTGATCTTAAGGGCATATTGTCTTCGATATAGGGTAAAATGACATGCTTTAGTATGTCTGTGTATAAAAACTTATCCATAATGCCATCTATTCTATTTAAAGGTCCCATCCCAAACCCCGAAAAGCCCCCTCAAACCATAACAGTCTCCGCCTCCATGTTTGACAGTGGGCAAAGTGTACTTGGGGTTCAATGTTTGTCCACTAAGATGTCTAACGTAATGAACACCATCTGATCCAAACATATTGAACTTGTATTCGTCACTGAAACATACCCTCTTCCAGTGACAGATGCTCCAATCAAGATGCAACCGTGCAAATTGTAATCGGTCCTTACGGTTTTTCCTCGAGATCAGCGGCTTTTTACTCGGGCGACGTGTAAATAACTTCAAATCATTTAATCTTCTACTTATAGTTTTCGTAGAAACACTGACTATAATTTTTGACTCGATTTCTGCTTTTATTTGTCTTGGGGTTTTAAACGTATTTTTTTACGAAATTACTTTTATTAATCTTACTGATCTAGCATTTAGTTTTCTAGGCCGACCACTTCTCTTAGAGGCTTCCAAGATACCTTTTTGTTTAGATTTGTTCAATATTGTCCAAACTGCTTTACGCTTCAGCTTCAAATTTTTTCAATGTCGACTTGACGTTGACCATCTGTGTATAACTCAATGATCTTAGTTTTCACATCGAAAGAAATTTCTGGACCACGCGGCATGGTCTTAAAATCACTCAACTTATTCCACAATACTTGATGAACACAAACTAATCCTCTTCTGACACGAAACTGTACTAAACTAATGTTGAAAAGAATTTGTCTAAATATTTTTGTCCCTCATAAAAAAGTGCTCATATTCAGACGTGTATTGTGTTCATTGCAGATAATGTAAAAACAAGGAATTTAGTTTTTCTACTAATAACGCATTTGCTTATGGAGCAATGAAGTATGAATTCGTTTTCTAACGGTATTTAGGTAAATATTCATTTTTGTCTATATACTTATGTCCATTACTGTATATAATAATATATCCACCCAATTAAAGTCATGATTCAAGTGTAGTTTATATTTTGATTCGTTTACAGACCGTCATTCTCTTGACATAAATCTCAATCACCAAGCACCTATTGACCATTAGACTGCGTTATACATAACTTGACCAAGTTCCATTTGATAAATGTTCAGGTGTACTTATAAAAAAATGCAGGCAACGTAGGGACCTTGCATTCAACAGCAAAAACATACTAAACTAAGTTTCAAACGTAATATTTGTTGTTATTCATTTTGCAACACTTGACTAAACGACCAGTCTTTTTCACTGATTATCTAGTGATATTTCAAAATTTCCCATATCGACAAACGAGATACTTATTCTGACGGATCCGCCAACGCCAGGTAGACGTAGCCGTATTTTGTTTTGTTTTTTGTACTTATCAATTCTATGCCTGCCAACAACTATTTTATTTAGAAACCAGAAAGCTGCACTCAATAATGCCCGACCGCCATCTTGAAATTCTCATTTTTTTTTATATTAAAATTAGAGTATTGCTAACTTAACCCATAAAAAATAAATATGAAGGACCTTTCTGAAAAGTACTATATGATGGAAATTGAAAGCTTGGCTCAAAATTAGAGAGATTGATGTGATTAAAGAGAAGTCTTTTAATATTTTTGTTATTAAAACTGAGGAAAAAAACGTTGCATACCATCGAATACTCCGATTACTTAGTAACCCCCTCGAAAGTCTATGACCTAATGAAAAACCCTATACCAGAAAAGAGGCTTTTGTTTCTCAGCAGGTAAAGAGCAATCAGATGTATTGTGGGTGTCAATAGCTTAAATTCATGTAAGGATATTTAAAGACGACTAAAAATGAATACTACCCTTTTATATGAAGAACTATATGTGTATGTTTTTAATAATAGATATAAGTTTTTAATTGATAAATTTTATGTAACCAGACAGGTTAGTGGCTTAAATGTGGCTTTTGCCAAATACCAATGTTGAAATAAAATCGCCCGATATACTTGGACCTAGAATATAATAATATAAGCTACCAATCAATATTAAGGAATGCTCCAATATTATTCAGTTTAGAGCTAATTTCACAGGATTTATTATATCTAAATGTTATTCAGCCGCCTCAGAATTTGTTTATTCATAATTGTTATGTTCTTTGTTTTATACATTAAGGATAATTTGATTTGAATTGACAGAACAAAGATTAGTTAACGACAGCAATCCCATTGTTTTTTAACAAATTATTAAAGTTTTTTCATCCTCCTGAAAAAAATTTTTTTAAGTTTGGTCAAGTCATGCATCCAATTGATGCCTGTTGGGGCGCTAGTACTCAACTTCTGTTGAGAGAAAAATACAACCAGCTATCGAAATGAAAAGTGAATGGTACTGACATTTATCTCAGTGTCAATGTGTGTGTGTTTTTTTTTATTTTTTTGTTCTGTTATTGACACTGGTCGATGACCAATACTTAATATTACCACTATACTATTTCTATTACAGTTACTTAAGAGTATGCGAGCACAATATGTGTATGCTGTTTTTTACAGGTTTTTTTCCAACCAATACTTCTTATTTATTTTTTCATTTTTTCTACTTTGTTTCCAAGATTCTTTTTTTGCTCGTTTTTTTTAATATATTTTTTACTTTATACTGATCTATTTTTTTTCAATATTTTCTTGTTTTCTTCATTTCTTCAAACAAATTTACTGTAGTTTACAATTTATAATGTTACGCCTATTTTCCGACAATGTATAAAACTTCGTAAGTTTGCTGAGAATTGAGTCTAAATTTAGAGGCAAAGCAAGGTGTTTCGCTAAAATTTGATAAAACAAAATTTGTTGACAGTCATAACCGTCAAATGCTCAGTTAGTCACGGTAAGGAAAGCACTTGTGAAGATATGACAACCCCGTTAGAGTGACAGCTATTTTTTTGGAGGCAGATTCTTATTTGAAGTATCCTGTAGATAAAATGTTGTGTATGATCTGGGAATATCTGGTTTTCATTCGAGAGATTCAGAAACAATCCACTTACTTCATAGCTGCGGAGAATCCCTGTATGACCTCGCCAGCTTGTGGTCCAATGAAATGCATCCCGAGCACTTTTTGGTCTCCTTCCCTCATAGCTACAACTTTCAAGTAGCAATGAACAATACTCTTCTGCGGAATGAAAAATTCTGTGGGCTTGTAGTACGCATGGTACACTTCTATGTTGTCTTCTCCAAATCTTTCAATCGCTGTTTCCTCACTCAATCCTGGCAACAAGAAGTGAACATTATAAATATGTATGAAGATCCATTCAATCGCTTTACATAATAGGATGAAATAATTCTCGCAATTTCTTTCGCGGGACGTCGCGTCAAAAACATCATAAATAGGGGGAACCTTTCTGGAAAGTACTATACAGGGAAAACCAAATTTGTCTGACGGCTTGAGTTCAATGTGCTCAAGAGAGAAGCGCGAGTGAAGGTCGATAAGTTTTATATTATTTGGTTGAACCAACAATACAATTCATATATTTGCGCGTTGCCAATATGTTACACCAGAAAATGTTTCAGAGGCTCAATGTCCAACCCAAGAAGAAGGTGTGTTCGAACATATAATCTAATATTTTGTTTTCATTTTGATTAGAATTATTTATTTCAATGTTGTTATTAGAATTATTTTTGATTTCCACCGATGGTGATAAAACCAACACACCGTGAGTTATTGTTACATTTAACGACAGCGAGTGAACTCATCTATGATCATGGAGGTGGAAACCTTGCCTTGGAATGTACGAGATGCGGTGTTGCCAAGAGAACCGATGATGTAATGTTGCAGAACTTGTGGCGAACCTGACCTTTTCATTTCCACCCAAAAAGGAGCGCCGTTAGGACCGATCCGGAATCGATCCTAAACAATTAAAAAATGTGCACGTTCAAAATAAAACCATTATTTGGGCGTAGAGAATAAACTAACGCATATTTTCAACATGCATATTAATTCAAGGAACTAGTGTAACATTATGGGCAACGCGGCAAGACTCAATAATTTATAACGGTCTGAAAATTTACATGTGTCTCCCTGATGCTGTCAAATTAACAATTTAAAGATATTCCGCCTTGAACTAAATAACTTTTTAATGTGTAAACCATATTATACCATGTGTGAGGTCTACAGTTCACATACATAAGATCCACATATGTAATTATCATAGTTTAGTTCCAATTTCGCTTTTTCTTTAAGAATCATTGTGTTCTTCGAACAATAAAGCATATTGATCTATCATATAACTTTTTAAAGTATGTCTTTTGTAGCAGTAAAACTGCGTAGTATGAGAAAGGTCCACTTAAACTATTATGTTTATAATTTTTGTATATTGAGCCATTTTAATCAGTACCCTGGATGCCACAAAGAAAAAGCGTCAATATTTGTGAACGCTAGATAAACCAAGATGACAAAAAATCACTAAATAATATGGAATAATGTCTATAACAAATAACTCACCTACAACTCCATATTCTAGTGGGGTGAATACTGTGGTCGCTACATTATCGTAATCCATATGGATTGTACTACCTCCAAATAACCTACGAGCCAACAGTCTGCCAGCATGGATAGCCACTGGGGTCAGTTCTGGCTTTTTCTGTAATTTTAAGAAAACAAAAATGTAATCTCATTCATTGCACGTTCTCGGCTGAAATTTTTACAATCGACGAGAATATACAGGGTGTCCGCAAAGTTGGGGTTTTCCTTTTCAGAAACAACTACCCTTGAAATAACAAAGGTAATGTGTAGTGAAACGAGGGCGACCAAGTAAAAAAAAAATAAAGGAAAAAGTACTCACTCTCCAGTTAACGAGAAGGGCTAAGTACGTCTCTGCCCGAAATCATACCGCTCCAACAGAAAATGAAATCAGCTGATGCGCCACCGAGCAGACGCAGAAACCACATTGATTGTCTTACACTTAATGGCACATCTTCTAACAAGGAAGGCAAAATGTTGCGTAAAAAGTCTAGGTATTGCATCCCGTCCAATCGATTTGGGAGAATAAATGGTCCAATGAGCATACCGTTCACCATGCCAGCCCAAACATTCACCGAAAATGTTTGTTGAAAATGTTGCGAAAGTTATTCACCCCATTTCGCGTGAACGTAGATTCGTCTGTCACTTCAAAAAGTCCGGATTATTATCATGTTGATGCAACAACCACTCACAAAACCGCACTCTTGCTGGAAAATCGTCAGGTTGAAGGGCTTGTACACGTTGGACGTGAAACGGATACAGCCCCTCTTCACGCAGCGTTTGCCACACTTTAGTTTTTGATACTTGCACTTCTCTAGCCAAGTCTCTAGTGCTTGTTGAGGGATTCTCGTCTACGCGATTACCTCTACACGCGTGACAGTAACCGTCGGTTGAAGGTTGCATACTGACCTGACACACTGACCCCGACCCAGTTCTGTCGTCGGGTTGAGCCAGTGACCTTGTACCAGTCGGTGATATCGCGGCTACAGGACGGTATTCAGATATTTTTGATGTTGCAGAGCCCTTTATCTCGGTTCCCTTAAGACATTAGTGTATATGGTACTAAGAAAAATTGCTTATGTTTTCAAGAACTACACGTCGTGTAAAGGAAAACCCCAACTTTGCGGACACCCTGTATTACACAATAGTAAATTCTCTAGCGTTAGCGGCGACGCCGGGCGGTAAGGCTGAGTAATTATCGGACCGCCCTCGTATGCATGGCTTCACCTTATTCCTGCGATAGTTTTGAAAGTCAAAAACACTTGGCTGATATTATGCTTATCAACTAAACACGGAAAGTGACAATACAATTTCTGTTTGTTCTCAGCGATATTGTGAAAAAAACAATGCATTGTACAGAACCGCGTTCAAGGTGACGAGTTAATAACGATGATTATTTATCTGTTTACAAGTCGCTCGCAACAATTTTAAATCTTAAATTCAAATGCAGCTTTTCCATTACATTCATTTTTGAAAAAGTTGATTCGATACAATACATTTGACGCAAATTTCTCTTTCTCGGTTAGATTTGACAAAAATCGTCGCACGTATTGGTAGTTTTTTTGTAACAGGATATGATAATTAATAAATGAAATATGGAATGGATAATAATAAAACGTGTGAAATTCTATCATTACATTTAACCAAAGCATTTGATAACTGCCAACCATTCCATACTAGTAAGTAAATTGTACGAAACAGGTATAAGAGGAAATTCCAAGAACTGGTTTAAAAATTATCCTCAAGATAAGAATCAATTTGTATCTACTAATGGTAATAAAAAAACCTTTAGAAAAATGACTTATGGAGTCCTCAGGGATCGGTTTTGGGGCCACTGTTAATCCTGATTTGTCACTACATTTTTTTCCACTTCTTTCAGTTCGATACCAGTTTATATGCAGATGATGCAACAATAATTTGCTTTTCTGATATTGTTCAAATTAAGCATGGATTTGGGACTTAATGAATTTATTGGAGTAGCTATATTTTTATGAATTGACCCTACAGTGAAAACTCTCGCAACCTATCAAGTACCTATGAAACTGGCATTAGACAAGGAGATTCGCTGAGCCCACTAATATTTAATCTGATAATGGATGAAATCATAAAGTTAAAAAAAGGAGAGGATATAGAAAGGGAGAAAAGGAAATGCAGATAATATGCTACGCCGACGACGCCATAATAATAGCCGAAAATGAAGATGACCTACAAAGATGAATAAAAGAATTCGAAGATACGGCGCTCATATACAACATGGTGATTTCAACATAGAAAACTAAATCGATAATGATATCAGCGGAACCGAGACGATGTAAACTGGTCGTAAATAACAAAATATTAGAACAAGTGATGGAAACGGAATACTTGGGAATCAAACTGTCAAGCTATGGAAAAGTGGAAGAAGAAGTACAAAAACAAGTGAACATGGCGAACAGAGCAGCAGGATGTCTCAACAGTACAATCTGGAGAAACAAATACCTAACAAAGGAAACGAAAACGAGAATATATAAATCAACAATAAGCCCGATAATGACGTACACAGCGGAGACAAGAGCAGATACGGCGAAAACACAAAGATTATTGGAAACAGCAGAAATAAAAGTCTTACGAAAAATAACAAACCAAACTCTAAGATAGTAAGAAGTGAGGAAATACGAGCGAGATGTAGTATACAGGAAACAAACCTGTGGACCAAAAGAAGAAAAATAGAATGGAATCAACACATAGAAAGAATTACAGAAAATATACTAAGTGACATATAAATCCGAACACCCAGTTTAAATGGTTTTATTTTAATAAAAGTTGGTGAATGTATTTATCTTACTGTAAATAACAAGTGAAAAAATGTTCAACCTTATCAGTTTATCCGGTTTATATACTGCTTTTTTTTAATTCACTAACGCTCTAAAAATGAATATTTCAGCCGCAGTAAAGAATCAACGTTGGCGGATTTTGGTTCTTGACATCCTTTACGATCGGTTACGATGCCTAGAGTACGGAGACCTGTAGGATTTTGTCAACTTAGTGAGTTTGATAGGGGCCGTATAGTGGGACTTCGGGAAGCTGGACTTTCTTTTCGGGCAACTGCAGTTAGAGTGCAAAGAAGTGTAGACACTGTGATTAGGTGTTGTCAGGCATGGCTTCGAGAAGGCCGTATGCAAAGAGCAAGGGGCACTGGACGCCGCCGTACAACGTGAAGATCGCCGCCTAAGATTATTGGCCTTAAGGGACCGTTTCTCCACTACCAGGTCCATTGCAAATGAATGGTTTGCAGAACACGGAAGACCTATTGGCATGCGAAGTGTTTACCGACGAATGAGAAGTTTTGGCTTGTTCTCATACCGGCCACACTGGGTCCTCCCTTTAACTCGAGAACACCGACGTAATCGCCTTGAGTGGTGCAGACAACGGTCACTCTGGGATCAGGAATGGAACAGTATTGTCTTTAGTGACGAGTCTCGATTTTGTTTAGGCATGCACGATGGTCGTGCCAGGGTTAGAAGGCGACGTGGTGAAAGGAGGAATCCACAGTTTTTTGTTGAAAGACATGTTCATCGCAATGTTGGAGTTATGGTTTGGGGTGCTATAGCTTATGGTTCCAGGTCACCTTTAATCTTCATCAGAGGTAACATGAACGCGCAGCGTTATATCCACGAAGTTCTAGAACCCCATCTTTTACCCTATCTTGACACCCTGGCAGATCCAACTTTCCAACAAGATAATGCCACATGTTGCAAGAGTCACAATAGACTTCTTTCAACATAATGATGTCACATTGTTACCATGGCCACCAAGATCTCCCGACTTATCCCCAATTGAGCACGTGTGGGATATGATGGGTAGGAGATTGCTCAATTTGCAACGTCCTCCTCAGACTCTAGAAGCACTTCGAGAGGAGTTGGTGGTTGCCTGGAATGAGATACCACAGGAGGACGTTGACCACCTGATCAGAAGCATGCCTAGGCGCGTTGGAGAATGCGTAGCACATCAGGGTGCATCCACACATTATTAAAGGTCAAAGGGCTTTAAAGCAGTGCAATCATTTTGAAATTTTTATCATTTACTTATTATCCTTCATTAAGTACTTATACAAAATTTTATTAAAATAAAACTATTTAAACTGGGTGTTTGGATTTATATGTCACTTAGTATAGAACAGTACGAATAGCAAGAGACAAATTGCCAAATGGAAGAAAATCAATGGGAGGACCGAGGAAAAGATGGTCAGACAACATCAATTGAGGCTAAAAACCGAAGTAAAATAGGCATGAGCCTATTAATAAAGTAGGAAGAAGAAGAAGAAGAAGACTCTACAGTGGCTGAAACTTTCTACTAAATCCATTCGACATGCTAGCAGTATCAACTCTCTTGGCCTTAACATTGATCTAAATTTGAGCTGGAATATTCATATTGAAAAACTAAAAACAAAATTAGAGACTACATCCCACTGAAATATCTTAGACTTTAACTTGATGTACCCACAGTATCTTACATCCTTTAAAAAGGATCCATAATAAAATACATTGATTCTATTTATAGTTACAAAACATGTATTGTTTATACTGTTGGAAATAAAAATCAGGCATTCAACTATCACATTCCAAAAAATTGGATCTGTAGATATGTAATGAACTCAACACAATAATAACTTTAACACAAAACTTTCTAAATCTCGAATAGCTGAAAAAAGCTGCAGCGGAATTGAACTATATAGTATTGTATGAGTATTTAAAACAAATAAAATTTCCTCAAATTATCGAAATTAAATTAGAAAAATATTTATTGAATCTGTAGTACGCTGCTAATATTGATGTAAATGTTCAATTATACTATTTTGTTCATGATTGTTATTTTGTATTTTAAAATCCTATATAAACTTGTAAAAGTTTCTTGAGATTGAAAAAGTTGTTATATATCTTTAAAAAATGTATTTTGGTCATTATTTTAATTTAAAATTTAGATTTATTACTCACATAGAGAACATCTCCGACAGCAAATATATGAGGCACATTGGTCTGTTCATTCTCAGCGTCGATCTTCTCGTTGTCCGGGGCTACCTTAACGCCAGACTTGTCAATGTCCAGCTCTTTGGTTAAGGCACGCCTGCCTATAGCGAACAGTACAGTGTCGAAAATGTCGCTGAACTCTTCACTGTGTTCATTTTGCCATACCACCTTCAGTCTGCCATCGTCGGCTTTTTCTACTGACTTCGGGATACATCTGAAAAAAATATGAAATCACAACAATGTCTAGTATTCATTACAATCAAGCTTAATTTCAAAGCTAACATAAAACTAAACTACTTCTATACGTGGATCTTAAGTAGGTGAATTGTAGATCTCAGATATGGTTTACATATTAAAAAGATTTCAAGTTCACGGCGGTTTTCAGACCACCATAAATTATTGAGTCTTTTACAAGTGTTGATTTAGGTAATACTAAGATCTTGTTTACATCTACAGTTGTAACTTGTATTTAATTTTTCAAATCTAGATTTATTTTTAAAAATAACAGTTTCTATTCCTAAAGTGAACAATGATACGGCAGCCATTCTTTTAAGATTCACAAATAAAGGCCTGCATGTAGCTCTAGGATTGCCTTTAGTTATACAGGGTATTTCAGTTTATTGTTGCATAACTTTAAGATTCGATAGAACTTTTAAAATTAATGCATAAAGTCTATATAAACATGGGTCGAAAAATGCGTGACTTCCGAAATACAGGGTGTTTAAATTTACTTTCTAAAATAGTTTTTTTTTTAAATATTTCGAACAATATTTGATGTATAACAGTGAAAATTGGTATACAAGGGTTTTTTGGTACGACAAAACGAACCATAGTTTTACTGTAGCCGTTAGAGGGCGCTCTCTACTGTACCTGTAGTGTTTTAAAATGACCGAAAAAAATTTCTTAGTGCAATTTTTTGATTTGTGTTTAAATTTACTTTCTAAAATAGTTTTTTTTTTTAAATATTTCGAACAATATTTGATGTATAACAGTGAAAATTGGTATACAAGGGTTTTTTGGTACGACAAAACGAACCATAGTTTTACTGTAGCCGTTAGAGGGCGCTCTCTACTGTACCTGTAGTGTTTTAAAATGACCGAAAAAAATTTCTTAGTGCAATTTTTTGACTTTTGAACAAAAACAATGATTCTTCGCACTTTTCAACATAAAAAGCTCTGTTGTGAATTTTCGTTATGGTTAGCCGTTTTTGAGATATTTCGATTTTTAAGGTTCGATGCATTTTTAATTATTTATGATAAAATAACGTTAAAAAGTCAGTATCTCGATAATTTTTAGAACTAGGCTGTGCCTGCAAATATTTTTGAAATTGAAAGCAGAATAAGGTTAAACGTCAATTAGTTGACAGTTAGTTTTGTTGTCTGTTGAAACTTGAAACGTTTTTTTGCAATTGTGAATGCACAAAATTTAGTTTCTTTTGCCTGTTTTTTTTGTAAGTTTTATAAAAATGCCATTTTTATTCTCCAATCAGGAGTTAGCGGATATTCATTTTGTTTATGGCTTTGTAAATGGAAACGCAGCAGAAGCAGCCAGAGAATATGCACGAAGATTTTCAAAAAGGCGACATCGAACTCGCTCAGTATTTGTAAGAGTGCAACGCCAAATAATTGAAAATGGTTTTGGAAATCTCCAAAGGGATCAAAATATAAATGTTCGTCAGCGCAGATTTACCCGTATGATTCTGCGTGAGTTTGATAGAGATCCGACCACAAGTGTTAGGAGAGTTTCTGGTGCCTTGGGAATTTCAGCAAGCCATGTTCACCGATGTGCTTACCATTTGCAACATGTGCAAGGATTACAGCCAGGGAACGGAGAACGAAGTATCACAGTTTGTCAGTGGATTCTTGATAGAACTGATAATAATAGGGAGTTTTTAAGTAACGTAGATTTCTTTGTGTGGGGATTTCTAAAAGAAAAAGTGTACCGGACTCCCGCAACCACAAGAGATATGCTAATAGACAGAATCAGGAATGCATGTGATGAAATAAGGCCTTATTTGAATAATGGTATACCACATTCGATCATTCGTAGATGTGAATTGTGTATTGAACAATTGGGTTTACATTTCGAGCAAATACTTTAGATTTTGTATGTTTGTCCTAACTATCCAATAGCATTTTAGTTGTAAATAATTAATTTAATTTGTTAAAAATAATATTGGAAAATTGAACAAATTAATATTATGTTTTTTTGTGTTTATTTGGAGTTAGGAATTATTGCTGTGTTTAAAAACTCAATCTAAACGATCATCTTAATTACTTGTAATGCCCAAATCGAAAATATAAAAAAAATATTATTTTCCCATAAATAATTAAAAATGCATCGAACCTTAGAAATCGAAATATCTCAAAAACGGCTAACTATAACGAAAACTCACGGGAGAGCTTTTTTATGTTGAGAAGTGCGAAGAATCAGTTTTTTTATTCAAAGAGCAAAAAATTGCACTAAGAAAAATTTTTCGGTCATTTTAATACGCTACAGGTACGGTAGAGAGCGCCCTCTAGCGGCTACAGTAAAACTATGCCCATGGTTCGTTTTGTCGTACCCAAAAACCTTTGTATGCCAATTTTCACTGTTATACATCAAATATTGTTCGAAATATTTTAAAAAAACTATTTTAGAAAGTAAATTCAAACACCCTGTATTTCGGAAGCCACGCATTTTTGGACCCATGTTTATATAGACTTTATGCATTAATTTTAAAAGTTCTATCGAATCTTAAAGTTATGCAACAATAAACTGAAACACTCTGTATATCTAATAGTTCGTTTTTGGAGAATAAGATCTTTTTTAAATAATTTTGGGAACATGCATACCAAGATCTCAATCTACTTTCAAATCATTTATTTGATTGGATCAGTGCTGTATTTCACAGTCTCCGATAGTCCTAGATTCTTGTTGAAAAAAAAACCTATTATTTCTTTTTCTATACAATCAAAATGACGAAACAATGAATTTGCGAGTTATAGTAGATCCTTAACAAACTTACCTGTGTTCAAATTTGACCCCTTTGTCTTCCATCTCAGCGACAATAAGATTGGCCATCTGCTGGTCGAACCCTCTCAATGGTATGGACCTAATCAACACAGTCGCTTCATACCCTAAACCTCTAAGGAATCCAGCACATTCCAATCCTATATCTGATAATTGCGTCAAGGATCAAATCACAAAACTATTATAAACATTTATTTATTTTCCTCTATTCAGTATCCAAATAATGCAAAGCAATTCAAAATGTTAGAAAAGCATTTTCCTAGTCTGCTGTAGTTGATTTTCGTGAACTCTTTAAATGGTTATATGCAAATATTGAAATACATAATAAACTTTTTTCTGTTTTCTTTCAAAATTTCTTCAGCATCAGTATTTAACCCAAGATAGGTAGGAGCGAAGGTGCCTTTTCAAAGTACTTATGATAAAATTTGCTACTTGGGCTTTCTAGACTGGAAAAATTGAATCGCAAGGATTGCTGACCTAACGTCACTTTGACATACTACGTAGAGCTGCTCATAATGGATCTATAAATATTCTCATATTTTTTTTTTGTAAAAATATTAATAGTATCTAAGGATACATCCAGCACCAACGATGAGCGTTTTTCCTGGTGGTTTTGGTAAACTGAAAATGTCGTCACTGGTGATGCCATATTCGACGGCTCCCGGTATATCTGGATACCTCGGCCGTCCACCTACAGCTATCAAGAAGTATTTCGCAGTTAGTGTGCGTTCACCCTGTTTCGTCTGCGTGTGGATCGTATGGGGATCCACGAATTTGCCTTGGCCATTTATGTACTCCACCTTCCTGAAAAAAAATATATGAACCTTTTGAAATTTGAGAAAGATACAGGGTGTTTTCAAAGTTGAGTCATTTATTTTAACAGCTTGTAGATCTCGACAAAAGAAGTTGATATGCGAAAAATCACCTATACTTCGAAGTTGAGTCATTTATTTTAACAGTGAGTAGATCTGATCAAAAGAAATGTTTTTTCCTTTACCATTTTTCTGGTAAAATTAAAGTCACAAAGTTATAGCCCTTTGGAAGTTTGAGTACCGCCCTGTCTCAATAATAATATCATGTGCTCGTGTTTGGCAACAACGGATATAATCCGCCTTATCGGTTCATCGCATCGGAAACAAAAAAGCGAAAGAAGTTGGAACGATGTTTTTACAATTATTTTATTCAATTCAGTTATACATACAGTCAGTGTCAGTCGGTAACGCGTGTGAATAGTGTGTGTTGCGTGGCTCAAACGAAATAAAAAATGGCACATGTTTATGCGGATCGGTTTCCCAATCGAGTGCAACCAACCCCTCGTGCCTTTGTTAATGTAGTACAACGGGCTCGTGAATCAGGTGACTTAAGACCTCACAGGGGACCTCACGATCAAATACAGGTCCGCACTGAAATACTTGTCGGGAGGATACTTTATAAAACAAGGTAAACATTTTTTTTTTATTTTTACACACATATTTTGGTTTATCTTCCTTCTACAATCATTATCTGAAAATTAATGACTCAACTTCAAAGTCACCCTGTATAAATGTTGCATAATAAGAGACAACATCAGTATTATCAAAGTTTCTTCGCACATATTAAAAATGTCAACGAAAATAAGGGCTATACATTCATGTAAAATAACGTACTGAAGTAACGGCGAATGTTTTTAGATCATCTGATTACTGTGGAATAAAGTTTTTCTTATTTGAACCACCAAAACATTAGTAAAAGTACGCAGAAAAATGTTAGACTTTTAACTTATTTTACTTAGGTCTAGTAGCAAAACAAACACGTACTTATCTCTGAGTTCGACCCTGGTGACCCAGTTGACAGACTTTATGTGACCTTGTACAGCGTCTTTCAAAGACTCCCAGCTGTGATGTATATTTTCTGGTTCCAGCTCCCAACCGTATGTTTTCGCATCCTGAAAAATATAGTTAAATAAAAAGCTGCCTTGTAGGTCCAGGACAATTACGATAAAAACTAGATACCGTCGTTTACTAAAAAGTATGGGCCCATAAACAATCAAATTCATTTTTCCTTCCACAGCGTTTTTGTGATTGGAAGAATGTCCTGAATTTGATAAATTTCTGAATCGGCTATCAATGGGCTCGCCTCTTGTACCTTTTTTGTTTGAGTGTTCCCTGCAGTATTCAAGTGAAATGAAATGTTGAGGCATGCCCAGTTTTATTTTTGTTTCGGTTAATTGAAGAATGATATTGCATCTTCATGAAGTCTTTTGGACGTTTAGCCCCAATCCCCATAACGTCGATCTGACATCACGCGTCACGAAAACTGATGCAGTAATGGAAACTTCAAGCAAAGTCGTTAGTACCAGTGGAGAACCAATCTTATCTCAAAATTCATTTTCCGTTTCAAATTTTCGTATTCGCATCATTTTGCGCAGCGCGTGGTTGAGGAAACGCAGGTATCCTGTACCGACACGAAACGTTTGTCAGACGCAGTCTGACTCACGTGATCGCCTTCATTTCTACCACGCAGTAGTCTAAACGTCAAGTATGAGCTGTGCGTGTCATATGTCTGACTTTAATGTAACATCTACTTAAAAGATGGCACTAGCGGAGGCCAGCCAGAGCTTCTATGGCCTAAGCTGGAAGCAAGTAGAGAAGCAGGAAGGTAACACCGTAGTGCACATCTGTGGCAGTCATCCACAGATGACGTTCACCGGGAGTAGGCGCGGCGTGGGTTCTTCGTTTAGCTCACTGATTCCCAAAGTGGTCTATATCAACCCCTAGGGGTCTATGACAACCTGCAAGGGGTCTACGTCAGCGAAAAAAAATTTGGGGGTCCATGAAATGAATATGGGGGTCCACGATAGTGGATCTCAACACATACACTGATAGTACCTATTTACTTACATCATACTATCTTATAATATCAAAACATATACATTATTTATAAAAGTACCTATGAAGTAAAAAATTTATTATATATGTTTATAAAATTGTGTAAGTTGTAGGATGTTGGTATTCGCTTTGTGGTCGCAATACATTTTGAACTTGTAAAAACCTGAGAGTCGCAGTCTCAGAGCTTCGCTACCTTGCACTGACTTGTTCAATTCGTCACTCTATAAATACGAATGTGGGACAAATACGTTTATTCATTTCCTGAATCTTGAAAAGGAAAGTGCCAAGAAAATATTTTAAAAAATATAAACAGATAGTATATCACACAAATTATAGTGAGTCAGTGTTATTTTGTTTGAGAGTGCTGGAGAAAGTACATTATTATTTATTAAATTCTAGTTTTGTACTCGTAGTTAGCAAAGATAGATAAATTATGCGCCAATCATGACTTTAGTTATTAGTAGTTAAATATTCAATCATGCAAAATTACACGAGTACTCCTCAATAGTTTCTTTTTGAAAGTTTTAGCAATCGGTAATATAATTACAGTGCAATCTCCGTAATTCGAGCTAATTGTTGCAAGAAGATGTTCGAATTATGGAATGTTTTCGGAAAAATCAAAAAATATTTTTAATATACAGCTGCTGGATTTTCTGTCTTATTTAAATGATTTAATTTTGCCCACAGATGACTGATGCCATGTCCGAATCTAAAAAGAAATGTAGACAGTACAGTGTTGATTATTTGTAATTTGGCTTCATTCCATCATTGCCGGACAAACAATCGCCTATGTGCCTTTTATGCAACAAAGTTTTGGGCAATGACGCTATGAAACCATCTAAACTGCAAGATCATCTGAGAAGATGCCACCCTGATAAAACAGAGAAAGATTTGAAATACTTTCAAACACTCAAAGATAAATTTCAGAAGAGACCTACACTGGACAGAATGTTCGCTTCGACGTCACAAAGAAATGATGATGGTTTGCGGGCGTCTTACAATATCTCGTTACTTACAGCAAAATCCGGAAAACCGCATACTATCGGAGAGAAGTTAATTTTGCCAGCCGTTGAAGAGGTTTTAAAAACTGTTTTACACAAACCTGCATCTGATATCATTAAAAGAATTCCCTTAAGCAACAATACAGTTGAAAGACGTATTGATGAAATGAGTTCTGATATTGAAAGCTTCTTATGTAATTATTTGCAAACGACCCATTTCTCTATACAACTGGACGAGTCAACTTTACCTGATAATGCAGCATTATTATTGGCATATGTTCGTTTTATTATGAATCAAGAAGTCTACGAAAAACTGCTCTTCGCAAGAACTTTGATAACCGACACTAAAGGTGAATCAATATTTCATGTTTTGAAGGATTACTTCACTGAAAAAGCAATTCCTTTATCAAATATAATATCAGTAGCTACAGATGGAGCACCTGCCATGGTTGGACGTTATCGTTTATTTATAAGCTATTTAAAACAAAATGTGTCAGGGGTGTTAGCAATACATTGCGTCATCCATCGACAACATTTAGTTGCTAAAAATTTTAGTGTTAGATTGCATGAATCACTTCATTTAGTCATTGATGCAGTAAACCGAATCCGAAGCAACGCGTTGAATACGCGGTTATTTGCGCAGTTGTGTGAAGAAAATGACGAACACGTTCATCAATTACTCCTTCACACTGAAGCATGCTGGCTGTCGAAAGGCTTAAGTTTGACAAGATTTTTTGCACTTTTTGAGACTATTTTAAAATTTCTGGATACTAAAGATAAAATTTTAAAGGAAAATTTAATGAAGAGGAAAACAGACATCGCCTATTTAACAGATTTGTTTACAAAATTTAATATGGTTAATTTGCAATTACAAGGCGACAGTTTAAATTTGATTAAAACAAAGTCCATCTTATCAGCGTTTCTTGCCAGAGTTAAACTAATGAAGCAAAATATTGGACGGGCGAATATTCTCTGTTCCCCAATTTGTCACAGACAAGCTGCCAGGAAGACGACGTTTCAACTTACGTTCAACATTTAAATGCCCTCTATTCAGATTTTGAATCTAGGTTTGAGGATATTTTGACTATGGTAATACCACCATGGATAATTAATCCATATGGTGACATAGAAGAAACGAATGTCATAATACAAGAGAAACTGACTGAACTAATTACAAACGAAGAACTTAAGGTTCAGTTTAAAAACGGATATCAGCAATTGTGGCTGCAAAACAACATACCCGTTACTTATCCCGTATTATGGAAATTTTCAATTTCCTTTCCATCGTCATACCTAGTGGAAAGGGGGTTCAGCGCTGATACCAATCTCCTAACGAAAAATAGAAACAGACTGGACATCATTAGCCGAGTAGATTTAAGATTAACCCTTACAAAATTGACGCCAAATGTTGATAATTTATTATTAAAGCATCCCCCCCTTTCCCCTGTATCCCCCTATAGCCCCACGGTACCCCAATGGGTGTTTAGGCCTTCGTGGTAGTTGGAGTATATATATATATATTTTTTTTTAATTATCCTGAAAATTCAAGGATAGGTACACACTAAAATTCGTTAATTTTTTGCCTATTTTTAGATAACTTAAACGTATAAGAAGCGAAATTTAATCAAACTAACAGTGAAATTATTGTAGAACATACGTTTACGATATAATTAATAAACGAACTCGCTTATTGTACTATTTTAAGTAAAAAATTTTTTTTTTATTATTTTTCACTTTTTTTTATTTTATCCCCCTTATTTTTTTTTTCAATGCGGGCACTTATTCCCAATGCGGGCACTTATTGGTCAGACACCTGTTTATTTAATGTTACGTATATTTTACATAACAGATACAAAATTTTATTTTGAGTAGTTTTAATTTAAATTCAATTAATAAATGTATAAATTAACATGTGTTTTTACTTTAAGTTTTTAACACTAAACTTCACTACAGTTAGAAATTTACAAGAAATCAATATCAGGTAAGTAGGGGGTCTGCCCAACACGGAAAAACATGGCAAGGGGTCTACGACACAAAAAAGTTTGGGGAACTCTGGTTTAGCTGGTACCTTGCATAGGATACCGTAAACATACATTTCTGATTTTTTTTAATATTTAAATTTGCAATGCCAATGACTTTGATTAAAACGCCGAATTTTCGCGCGTTTCGCAGTGACGTCACAACTCATGGTTTGTAATTTTATTTGTTTGTTTAATTAGCCGTCTTGATGTGCTGTTAAGTTTTGAAGGGTTTTATCGTATTTTTCAGGAGCATCCATTACGGTAGAATGACAGCTAATTAACTAGTAGTATTTTAAAATTCCCCATCTCGATAGAAGATACATAATGACGGATCGGTCAATGCCAAGTAGACAGAGCCGTATTTCGTTTTAGTTTTTTGTTCGTTATAGATTCATTTTGTACTTGCTAACAATTCTTTTATTTAGAAAAGTTTATTTGCACACAAAAAAACGCTACAAGCAAGTTTTACTAGATTTTTACACCCGATTCATTATTGCCCAACGTTACAGACTAAAACAAAAATGTAGCTGATCAGCTGCTCACTCCAGTAGACGTCAAAACGTGATGGATACTCGGGTGATAGAGGGGGTTAAGTTTCATATAACATGGGGGTCAAAACGGCATTTTTTTAGAGAAGAGCGACTTTAAAGTAAAATCAAATCTGACAACGCCGCAATGCTAGACGCAAATTACGACCGAACGCAGTGTAAATAAAGATGGAGTTCGTTATTTTTGGCTCTTATGTATTATTCCATTATTTGATAATGTACTCGTAAAATGCAAACAATTAAAAAAACGGACACCACTAACTATCTCAGCGTTTCACCTGGTGTGTGAAAGTTTATTGAATGTATTAAAAAAATCCACTTATAAATAGGGAACAGAATTATGATACATATATATGCACATTGTTTTTCTTTTTAAAACCAACACTGACTTTATTTGTATTTAAAGATGGTGTTCAAAATGTCGTCCTCCACTTTCCACACAAGCTTCAAAACGACGAACCCAGTTTCTTCTTACTCTAGTTCCTCGAAGTTGTCCGTTTATTATTTCAGCCCCATTAAAATTTTTTGGGGTGTAGCCCGTTGTAGGTAGCTCAGTGGCGAATTCCTGGTCAACCGGTACTCTTTGGAACTGATCAAACTAACAGCTTAACTGACAATGACAGCTACAAAGTATTAGCTGCTCACTAGCCGATATCTTAACGTCAAACCAATAGCGTTGGGTTTCGATCTCCTCAATTTGCCACGTATTTTTAACAATTTTGATTAATCCTCGTAAGTTTATAGCGCATGAGTATAATATAAGGGTGAAGGTAGTTTCGTATAGCAATATAGACTGTAAATAAAAATAACCGATATTTGAACCACATGCATAACCCCTATTATGACGATCATTTTACAAAATACGAGTGCCGAGCACCTTTCTGCCAAGCCCATTCATTTTTAAATTCAATGCTTTAATAAAGAAAATTTCGACTCACATGGATTGCTTCGCCAAGTAACGCAGCCTGATGCATCAGTTTCTTGGGTATGCACCCTACGTTGACGCACGTACCACCCAGACCCCATTTGGTTCCTATCGGTGTTGGAGTGACGTAGTCGAGTACAGCAACCTTCGCTCCAAGGGCGGTAGCCTCCTTAGCAGCCGCTAGACCTCCGGAACCGCCACCGATTACCACAAGGTCGTATTCCGCGTTTGCGCCTGCAAGAGAGTCACAGTTCTTGATACAACAATCCAGGAGCTCAAAACATAAATGAACATGTGGCAACAAAACCAGTCTAGATGGCTGAAGATTCTGGCTGTAAAGTAGATGTGATCTATTGCCATTAAATAAACTAAAACATGATGCTCCTCCGGTATTGCGGATAGATGCGATGTTTTTTTATGTCTTGGTTTTTTACGTCTTTTTGTAGTGCGTTAACTTCTTGGAGTAAATCAATCAAGAATGATGGGAGCTTTTAGATACGCAAATATAATAATATCACTAACCGTAGCCTAGTACTCTTCATATCATAGTTTAAAAGTCGCTATTTCAATACTCAGATTAAAAAAAACTGAAAAAAACTTTACTGAATCATCAACCAAATCTTTCATACTCAATAATTATTGTCATTAACTTGTTCTTTTTATGCCTTTGTATTGTTTATGCTTTATTATTCGCATAATTATAAACAGGTACTTATTTTCAATAAATTACTTGTTCTAACACTTCTCATATTGTTAATACATGGTATAATGATAGCAAAGTTAGTAACTGTGTAGCTATACCTTTGGCGATTGAAAATAGATACACTTAAATGTATCTTCAAATATATTTTACATTACAAGTAGATTGTGAAAGCGTTCGATAGAGTAATTGAAATGTATTTCAATACGACAAGAATTCCGATAATAATCAGACTTTTCACATTGACACGTTGACAAGCACTGTTACCATAGTAATTTCTATATAGAGATGGTATTTTGATTGTTATGGTTAGATTCATTTTTTGCTGATCGTACCTATATCCTAAAATTATGTGTTTATTTAATATACAAAGTAAACTGTGACAAAAAATGTGCAGTTCTAATATGTAAAACGTTATTTTCTTTTTTTACTTTTCTATCTACACATGAGCTAGAAAAGTATTGTGATCTCAATTTTTTATTGTTAATTAATACTTCTCAGTTTTGACTCCCTAATAATCCGTAGTGCATGAGATGCCACTGGCAGTCATTATTGCAACTCCTAAAATATGGTTATGTAGTAATTACATAAAAATAGAAGCGAAAATAGGTGGCGGATTTGCATATCTATTTTCGTTAGTATGAAAATGCGGATGATTAATACACTATTAACAAAAACACCAGTTGGTTATAATCAAGCAGAATGCCGTCACATCATTTTGTTTTTCTAGCTTCGTATTATCCATATTGTTTTTTGAATATACGGAAATCGACAAAAGTATATAGACAAATATGAATATTTACCTAAATAGCTTTAGGAAACGAATTCATAATTCATTGCTCCATAAACAAATGCGTTATTAGTAGAAAAACTAAATTCCTTGTTTTTACATTATCTGCAATGAACACAATACAAGTCTGAATATAAGTAATTTCGTCCAAAGATCCGTTTAAAACCCCAAGACAAATAAAAGCCGAAATCGAGACAAAAGGACGAAAACTATAAGTAGAAGACTAAACGATTTGAAGTTATTTACACGTGGCCCGAGTAAGCCGCTAATCTCGAGGAAAAACCGTAAGGACCGATTACAAAATGCACGGTTGCATCTTGATTGGAGCATCTGTGACTGGAAGAGGGTATGTTTCAGTGACGAATCCAAGTTCAATATGTTTGGATCCGATGATGTTCATTAAGTTAGACGTCCTAGTGGACAAAGATTGAACCCCAAGTACACTTTGCCCACTGTCAAACATGGAGGCGAGTCTGTTATGGTTTGGGGATGCTTTTGGGATGGGACCTTTACATAGAATAGATGGCACTATTGATAAGTTTGTATACACAGATATACTAAAGCATGTCATGTTACCCTATATGGATGACAATACGCCCTCAATATCGATCTTCCAGCAAGATAATGACCCGACGCACACTTCAAATCTCGCAAAGAAATTCTTTCTGGATGAAGTTCTCAAATGGCCTTCACAGTCTCCCGATATAAACCCCATTGAAAATCTATGGGAATACTCAGATAAGCAAATACGAGATAAAAATTATTCAAACAAGGATGAACTTTTTTCCGCTTCAGAGCAAAAGTGGAGACAGATTGATGAATCTTATATCAAGAAACTTCTACAATCTATGCCGAGACGATGCCAGGCGGTGATTGACAATAATGGTTATGCTACAAAATATTAACACAAACATGGTTGGTTTTCAATTCAATGAACTTTGCTTCTTTTTTCTATAATTGTTTTGCTTTGTCTATATATTTTTGTCCTTCATAGTTCCAGTTTTTTTCAATTAATTTTTTATTGAAGGGAGTCAAATGAATTTATTTATGTATAAGTGAATATTATGCTATAACAAATTATGTATATAGGTTGGTGTATTAATAAAACAAGTTAAAAAATAAATACAGCACAATATTAATTTGTCTATATACTTTTGTCCATTAGTGTATTTCTGTTACGGTAATCAAATTTCTAAATTTTGTAGCCAGTGACTACACTTAATTTTTGAAGTTTGATATCTCATAGGTACCCTCCAGGCAGTTGTTTTTATTGAACATGACTTAATCTTTTCTGTAAATAAACACTTAACCCCAAATAAAATTTGGAGTAAAAATAGAATCATTATTTAACATTGTGTAATAAATTTCATTATAAACTCAGAAGAAAGAAACTAAAACAAAGTGCAACAAGTTTTATCTTTCAAACTTATGATAAAATTTTTGTACAGGGTGATTCACAAGTCGTGACCAAAAATTAAACATCATTCACAGGACCGCCAACTGGAATGAACTGAAATTTGGTATGTGGATTTACGTAAGTGTTGTCCACATTCAAAAGTCTTTACATAAAATTAAAGGCCACTAGTGGCGGAGATACAGGCGATTAGTGGCATTATTTTTACAATTAAAAATAGTAAGCTACTGTGAGTGCATTGTTTTCGTAAAAATAAAAAAAAACAAATTTAAAGGATCCACAAAGCGATTCATCTGACCACAGAACCAAATCAATAAAATCTGTATTTTGATTATGCATTTGCTGTAACCACTCACAAAAATTTGGCCGTTGCACGTCGTCGCCAAGAAAGCAACTTTTGACTTGACTTTTGCAAAAAAAAAAACAAACAGGGTAGTAGTAACGATAACAAACGTATAACACATAACTTTGACAAACTATCTCCCAGGAAACGTCTAGTTGGTACGAGGGATGTCCTTTAAGTTTTGCATATAGAAACATAGCAGGCCGCGCGGATCGAACGTCAGTATTGAATCTTAACCTCACTCTTTAGTAAACTTAAATTCAAAGTTTCGCAACAATACCTGCAGTGTTCTCACTACAGTGAATTTTTACGTGTCACCAAGTCATTAGAAAAATGGAACTCAACCGAGAATATTTTCGCGCCATAATTTATTACAACTTTCAGAGACAATTATCGCAACAAGAATGCCTTGCTGAGTTACTGTCTGTTTTCGGCAACGAAGCGCCACATCAGTCGACAATATTTCCCGTTGGTATGGAGAATTCAAACGTGGACGGGTGAGTCTTAGTGACGATCCCAGGGTGGGTGCACCAAAAACGGCAGTCACCCAGGACAACGTTGATGCTGTGCGCAAACTCATCATTGAAGATAGACATGTTACACATCGCGAGATTGAGGCGTCCTTGAAGATCTCGAAGACCTCAATTCAAAAAATTTTACATGAAGAATTATGAGTAAGAAAATTAGTTTCTCGTTGGATACCACACCTGTTGACTGAAGAGCAGAAAGCAGCCAGGGTTAATTGGTGTCAAAGAACGCTTGACCGTTTCAATTCCGGAAACTCAAAAAATGTTTACAGCATTATTAGTGGTGATGAATCGTGGATTTGCTGTTATGAACCAGAAAATAAACGACAGTCGGCTGTTTGGGTGTTTCAAGGTGAAGAAAAGCCAACAAAAGTCATCCGTTCTCGAAGTGTTTCGAAAAAGATGGTCGCGACATTTGTGTCAAAAGCCGGTCATATTGCAAGAATTCCTCATAATGAGCAAAGAACTGTTACTGCGGATTGGTATACCAGCATTTGTTTGCCAAAAGTCATCACCGAGGTTCAAAAAATCAACCCCGAAAGAAGAATCATCCTCCACCAAAACAATGCAAAATCGCACACAGCATAAAAAACAAGGCAGTATTTAACGGAAGAATACGTGGAATTACACTGGACAACAAATTTTAGTTTTTTAATTGTATCTTGTGGGAAAGGTGCACTTCTTTGTTAATTTTGAGGCGCTGAATCGAAAAATGACAATGAAATAAAAAAATAGTTGCGGTTTAGAAAAAAAACTTTTTATTTTTAAGGATATATTAAAAAAAGTAACAAGATTCATATACATATAAGAATCACTATATGCGCTGTCTTTTTGCTGTTCTTTTATGGATCGTTTCTGGAGCATCTCTACCAAGAGTCCAACAGTAGTCTGCAAGCATGGAAGGATTCCACTTTCCCTGGTACCTTTTTTCCATTGTTGAAATATCCTGATGAAAACGTTCGCCGTGCTCATCACTTACGCCTCCGCAATTGTCAGGAAAAAAGTCCAGGTGTGAGTGTAGGAAATGTATCTTAAGAGACATATTACAGCCCATCTTTTGATACGATGACAGCATATTTTGACAAGGGTTTTATAGTTGTCAGCTTTTCTATTTTCCAAGAAATTAGTGACCACCAGACGGAAATCATTCCAAGCAGTTTTTTCAATACCTGTTAAAGTGTTTTCAAACTGTGTATCTTTCAAAATATTTCGAATCTGTGGCCCAACAAAAATACCTTCTTTAACCTTTGCCTCACTTAGTCTTGGAAATTTCTGACGCAGGTATTGAAAAGCTGACCCATCTCTATCTAATGCCTTGACAAAGTTTTTCATTAGGCCCAACTTGATATGCAGTGGTGGTAATAAATTTTTTTTTCGAATCTACTAATGGCATATGCTGTACATTTTTTTGACCTGGCTCTAGGAATTGACGAACAGGCCAGTTTTGTCTGGTGTAATGA